TTGAAAAAAAAAATTAAAAAAAAAAAATAAGAGTCTCTTCTGTTTTGTCCCCCTCCCTGTTTTTGTATTATTGTTGCTTTCCTTCCCTTATGTTCATCTGTTTTGTGTCTTAAAGTCCTCATATGAGTGAAGTCATACGATATTTCTTTCTCTAACTTCTTTTAGCATAATACCCTCTAGTTCCATCCACATAGTTGCAAATGGCAAGATTTCATTCTTTTTGATTGTCAAGTAATACTCCAGCACTTGAAAAGCTTTTGAGGCCAAGGGGTTATAGAGACAAGTGCGGGGGGGGGGGCTCCCCCCCAACCTGGCCCAGGAAGCTTGGTTGGCGCTCCTGGTGGTTGCAAGACCTGTGGCTCTGACAACCAGGCATGGCCTGAGCCCACTGTCCCTTTGATTGCTTCCTGCCTCTGGTGGGAGCTTTTTCTTTTTTTCTCTTTTCTTTTCTTTTCTTTTCTTTTTTCTCTTCTTTTCTCTCTTTTCTTTCTTTTTTCTTTTCTGTTTCAGTTTTATTTCATTATTTACTTGTTTAAAACTTTTTTGAAGTTTATTCATTTTTGAGAGAGAGAGAGAGACTGAGTATGAGTGGGGGAGGGGCAGAGAGAGAGAGGGAGACACAGAACCCAAAGCAGACTCTAGGCTCTGAGCTGTCAGCACAGAGCCCGATGCGGGACTCGAACTCACGAACTGTGAGATCATGACCTGAGTCAAAGTCGGATGCTTAACCAACTAAGCCATCTAGGTGCCCCTTCTTTTTTTTTTTTAAGTTTATTTTTATTTATTTTGAGACAGGGTAAGTGGAGGAGGGGTGGAGAGAAAGGAAGACAGAATCCCAAGCGGGCTCTGCGCTCTCAGCACAGAGCCTGATGCCCGGCTTGAACTCACAAACCATGAAGTTATGGCCTGAGCCAAAATCACGAGTCGGACACTTACCGACTGAGCCACCCAGGCACCCCAAACCAGCTTTTCTAACAGTCTCCCTGCTCCTTAGAGAAATGGGTGCTTGTCCTTCCGTGTCCCCTTGGCTTCCTGCCCACCATTTCTTCTGATTCCTTTCCTGGGATGCTGATCACAGGCATTGTTGGCCTGAGATTGGTCGCACAGGTGCCATTCCCGGAGCCACATGTTTGCCATCAGCAGCCCTCTGCTGAGAACCCGTGGACACCTGTCCCTCGTCTCCACATCCCAGCCTCCTGTCATCGAGGCGTCTGTGTCCCTGGCTGCCCTCTAGCCATCCGTAGCCACCCCAGCTCCACTGAACCCCCCCAAAAGAGACACCCCTCAGGCTGTGTACGCCAGGGGCCCCACCCTTCAGAACGCCTGGGGAAGACTGCCCTCCGAGCCCAGTGCATGAACTGCCAGGCAGGGCAGCTGGAAGCGTATACCCAGGGATTGACCCGTCTTGAGGGGAGCTGGTCTCTCTGCAGCAAGAGAGCAGGGAAGCCTGGTGAGCCGCTTTCTCGCTCCCAGCCTTTGAACTGCCTGCCACTTTTAGCACCCTCTCCATCCTGGTCCCTCGGCTGGCCTTTGGCTGCGAGCCTTTCTGTTTCTTCTTGGGGGGTCCCATTTGTTGAGAAGACGGGGATACTTGTGCTCTGTGCCATATCCCTCTGCCTTTCCCTTCGGTTGTTTTCAGGAACAGAAATGATACCATCCCAGTAGGGTAGCCTCCTGGTGGCCATGCCTATCCTGCGTGCCTCCCCCCCTTACCCCTTGCCCTGCCTCCCCACCCCCCTCCTCCTAGCAACAGAGTCTAAAAATACTCTCTTTCCACTGAAGGGTTTTTTTTTTTTTTTTCCACCAAAGAAAGTGAGCTGACTGGGGAGGAGGAGGGGGCCGGAGCTGCTGGAGGTGTTGTGTTCTTGGAAGGTGTCAGAGACCCGGCGGCCGGACCTTTGGCCAGATTCTGTATGGACTGGCAGCTTCCTGGAGACCCTGTCACCGGGAGTAGGAGGTCTGATCTGGGGGCATAAGCAGAACATGGCAGAAGCGAAGAACAGAACCCATCGTGTAAATGGGCAGTCGTTCATTGATCTGAAAGTTGATGATTTAAAACTGTGTTAAAATTTGAGGGATTTAGAAGCAAGTCGGGTACGGTTTGTGTTGGTATAAGGCCTCTGTCTGGGGTCTGGTGTACAATCCCAAGGAGCGAAGGAGAGGAAAGCATGAAATTCTCTTTTCTCTCCTTCCTAGGCCTTCCCCTGGGTCTTTCGATCCCCTAACATTGTAGGCACAGGCCCGAAAAGGGAGAATTCCATAAAGAGCAGTGAGGTGGTCACTCTGTTGTTAGCCAGCCAGTCCCTGTGACAGGGACCCCTCAGAGTGCCAGCACTGCCGTGTCACTTTGCTTTCCTATAGGGCAGCCTGCCAGCACCACCCCTGTGGCTCCTTGGCTTTAGGTTGGGGACCCAGAGTAGACTAGACTTCCTGAGGTTTTCCACCTCTCCCCTAGAGCAGAGTCTGAAATCTCAGCTGGGTCAATCGTGTAGAGAGGCTCCTGTGTTGTCACTGTCACCTCAGAATGTGGACAGCCTCTCTGGCCATCTTCCTGTGTTCTCTGATGGAGCTTGGTAACTGTGAGTACGAAATTCAATCTGACTTGACAAATGACGTCTGACTGCCTTCTCTGCAAGGGCGAGACTCGGTGTGTGCCTTCAAACGTCTGACCTAGTGGAGAGAAGACAGGAGCACAGGTATTTGGGCATTGTCCCCGGAAGATGAGAGAGGCATGTAGCGTCTCTGGGTTTCTCCCGGTTCTGTGTTTCCTCCTACGACTCTTCCTTTAAAGGTGCCCCTGCCCTGTTCCCGTTGGCATCAGAATCTTGTTCAGGAGAGAATGCTGCCAGGAACGTATGTGCTGTTAGTGGCCACCTCAGCCACACTGCACAGGGGTCTCATACAGGGGTTGAAACAGTGGCAGGTGGGAAGCGAGTAGCTTAGCCAAGACTGCTTGGTTGCAGATAACAAATTTTAATTACAGCTGGCCTAGGCAAAGAGGAGGGTCTGTCAGGACAAGGTAGGGCTTCCCAGAACCCTGGGTGTGACTGGACCTGGGAAGGGACAGAAGGGATCAGAAAAGCCCACCAGTCCTCTCGTCTGTACCTCTCAGCACACTGGTCTCAACGTCCCACATATAAGCTAGCTCTTGCTCCCTGGTCCCCGCTGGGCATATGGCTGCGCACATCTAGAGTGGACAGTGTCACCTACCCAAGAAGAGCAGCCCAGCTCTCCCCAAGCCCGGGGCCTAGCTCCTGGGTGCAGGGGAAGCTGACTGGCCCAACTTGGGGTGTGTGTTTCCCTCTTGGTGCCACAGAATACATAGTACTGGAGAAAGGGGGCCTGTTGAGTCGCCGTTTGGGCAGGTGCCCCAAGAACTGTCCCCCGTCTGGAGAGCACAGTGATGGTTCTTTAATTTCCATTCTTCCTATCTTGGAGTTGGCTGAGGTGGAGAACAAGATAACTGACAAGCCGTCCCCTGGAACTGTTGGTCCTCCCGTTGAAATCGAGGCAGGAAGTGGCAGCAGGAAGGACCATCATGCTTTTTTCTCCCTGGCCTCCCACCACAGACTGTAAACCTGGCCTTAGACCCTAAACGAACATGCTAGCTGCATTTTGAAGCTAGAGTCGCAGGACTCAGCTGGATTTTGAGTCAGGTGGCAGCAGCCAAAGCAGCTGGTGGAGAATGGGGCTCTGGGGCACTCCCTGGGGGGGCAGGCCTCAGGGGTGCTGCTCTCCAGCTGGTGCTCCGATGGGCCTCCGCAGGCACCATGGGCCCCACTCAGAATCCAGGAGGAAGTGTCGGCCGAGAGGGGCCGTCCTCAAGCGGGCATTAAATCCCTGAGTGTGCACATTCGATAAATGGATCAAGGAAGCCAGGCTGACAGTAATGTTTGTGGTGAGATGTATCAGTCGTAACGAGCAAGGCTTTTTGGAAACTGACCTTTTAACTTCAAGTGGGTCTGGTGGTTAGAGATAGAGTTTCTGGGGCTGCCTCAGGATTGGTTGGAACGCAGTGCTAGAGCCAGGGAGGCAGGGAAATGCTTGTGACAACAGCAGAATTGGCAACGGAACCGTGGGCGCGAGACGCCGCACCGCCTCTTCTGGGTACGTATAGGGTGACAGGACCGTTTTGAAGAGCTGGGCTTCGTTTTGGGGGAGCCCTTTGGAGATGCTGCTTTTTTTTTTTTTTTTTTTTTTTTTGATCCTGTAACTTCCAAAGAACCAAATATTTAAATTCTTTTTTGAGTGTCATGAATCAATGATCAGTGTCTACTGGGATGTTCGTTCTTTGCTCTCTGTGTTGTGTTTTCAGCGAAGGGGCTCTTGTGGCCGTGCTTTCCAATGGCTTCTCCGATGTGGGCGCGTGGGCGTTGCCACGGTGGGCAGCTCCGGGCTCGCCCTCCCCTGAGCCTCTGCCACCTCCCCTTTCCGGCCAGGCGAGGTGGTCTCCGCTTTTGCGCTCTCTGATCCACCGAGGAGACCTTGCATTAGCCTTTATTTCCGCCACACATCAATTTCTCCTTTCCTTTCTACTCAATTTGCCTACGGTTCCTGCCTCCGCCCACGGGAGCTCTGCCGAGCAGAGCCGCGGCACTCCGGTCCCGATGGCATCCCGCGGGCACGGCAGCGAGGCAGCCTCCGCACGCCCTTCAGCTAAGCATCGCCAGGAATTGATTTCCCGGCGATTAGGGAAATGCCTGCATTTTAGGATGCGCCACAGTGCTTAGGTGTTATTTCTCCGCATCTTCTCCAAGGAAATGCTACACGCTGAATTAAGTTTTTGTGTTTTTGTTCATGCTCCACAGCACCATTGCAAACCCAGATTTCGCCAGCCCCGTCGTGGCAGCGCTGGCGGGGGGGGGGGGGGGCGCGGGGACAGAGTGGGTTTGGCCAGCATGATTGGCATTTGAGGGTCGGAGGGCACTGGCCTCTGAGAGAGGACCTGGGCTGCCCTTGGTGAGAAATGCTTCCTGACAGGCCCTCTTTTATCCTCCCAGGCGTGGGCTGATGCCTTTCGAAGCAGTCCTGACCTCACCGGCGTTGTGCATATATACGAGGAGCTGAAGAGGAAAGGGGTCGAGTTTCCCATGGCAGACTTGGACGCTCTGTCTCCCATACACACACCACAGCGGGTAAGCTTCCAGCTGGCGTTTTCTAGAAAGACCTATTGCAGAACGGGCAGGCCACTGCCACCACCCTTCTGCTGCTCCGTTTGAATTATTCAGCTTGTCATCACGCGTTCTTAAAGCTCGAGGGCATTTCTTTTTAATAACAAGGGGAATGCAGGAGTGAGACGGCTGGTTGACTGGTGATTAAGTGGCAGCAGTGTCTTCCCCCACCCCCGCTCCCAGTTCTCATCTGACTGTGCAAGGAGGATATAACAGAGGGATCGGTTCCGAGATTTTCCTGGAAATGGCTGCTTGGGTGGAGCCAGCCTGTGAGGGCCCATCCCGTGAGGGTCACTACCACCCGCTTTTCCGAGGGCCCAGGAATCTCCCTTTGGAAGTGCCGGAGCACCTCCATGTCCACGGCAGTGCAGAGGAGCTGGTGATGTCACTGATCATGGGGCAAAGGGCAGCTTTCAGTTTTTTAGACTGTACAAGCCAAATAGATCCAAATTTTATTTTGAACTGAGTGTTCGCTGTCAATCCAGACATGCTTGAATTCCTCCAGCCTTGGAATTCAAAGCCCAGAGAAGGCCTCCTCCCACTGAAGCCTCTTAAAACGTGAGGCAGCTCTGTGCTTCAGAATGAGAAGCACGCAGGTGATGGTGACCGTTCATCCTGGGAAGCTTGTACCTCTACTGGCTGGGAATCAGCACCTGGCCCCGGTGGGGGAGCCAGGAAGCTCCAGGATCTGGGAGAGAGGCGCCTTGTGCCAGCACACACACTCTGCCTCACTGGCCCCATCTGCCCATCTCCAAAATGGGGACAAGGAGTCCAGAGCGCCTGTGCAGGTCTCTTCTGTGAACACAGTTAACGTTGAGGCTTTCTGAGATGCTCAAAAGGGAAAGCATAAGGAATTCTACTTTGCAAAGCTTTGTTCTCATTATGATCCCTCCAAACCACTTACCATGCCTTGTGGAATAAACGTAACCTGTTTTATTTTTCTAATAATGACACAGAACAGCGTTGTTTTGTGCCCATAATTACAAAGAACATTCGGTAAATTGCATAATTGCTATTTATATTAGTCTACTTGTAAAGCCCAAAATATAATCTCCTGGTACCAGATAGGGATGTGTGATTAGCAAAACTTCATAGCAGCCCCCCTCCACTCGGATTCTGGGGGGCCCTAATAACGGGAACCCTGACCAGAGCTCTCATGGAGTGCCCTTGGCACTGCCTTTCTGAGTTGCTTGGTTTGTCTGGGAGGTAAGTAGAGGGAGGAGCCCTTGGTACCCCCCATTTGTGGACGGAGAGACTGGGTGCAGAAGGGGCAGGGATTCCCCGAGCCTCACAGGTGAGCCGTAGAGCCAGGCCCGCTGCCTCCCTGCAGCTGGCTGTGGCGGGAGGGGCTGCCGGGGCGGGTAGGCGCTGGGCCCAGCTGCACGGGCAGCCCAGGTGAACGGAGGACTTTGTTGTTGCCGTGCCAGAGCGTCCCCGAAGTGGATCCGGCCGCGACCATGCCCAGGCCCCAGTCGCAGCAGAGGACGAGTGCCAGCTCCTATTCCTCGCCTCCTCCTGCTCCCTACTCCGCTCCGCAGGCCCCGGCTTTGAGCGTGACTGGCCCCATCACGGCCAATTCAGAACAGGTACTTGCACACTTCCAGGCCATAGGCAAGTCGGCCGACTGTCCTTGCTCGCCCTTCCTGGAGATGTATGGATGGTTTCCCTGACCAGGCATTGTGCTAGTGTCCGCGACCCACAGACGGAAGGGAGGGCCCACCGTGCAGTGGGGAGATGGGTGCAGAGGCTGCGTGGACGGTGTGGTGGTGCGGTTGCGGGAGCAGGAGCTGAGAGTCAGTGCTACCTGGAGGGCAGCCCCGGGAGCCGACGCTGCTGAGGCTCTCGAAGCCGGAGCGGGGCTTGTCTGACGAGGCATGCGCCGGAGGCGTGGAGGAGCGGGGCGCTCGAGGGAGCAGCAGGTGGAGGGTTTGGGGGATCAGTGCAGGTGCAGGATCGGAGAGACAGAGGGTGAGGCCAGCGCACAGCCATGGAGTTGCGTTGTGAACAGCCTCGTGAGTCACGCGGAGCGGTTTGGATTGATCCTGTAAGAGGCGTCAGCCATCAGAGGCCGGTGACCCGCCCAGCAAGGTGCCGTGAGGCCGAGGCCGGGATGAGGAAGGCCCTTAGGAAGCATTCTTCCTGCCTTTCTTCCAAACCCTGCCCACCTTCCCTGAGTTATTTCCTGAGAGGCCAATGCCATTGAAATCCCAACCTGGATTTTTTTAGACGAGTCGTGGAGGCTAGTATTTAGATGAATCTGTAGAATTGCCATTCAGTAAAATTTGAGAACTGATCAGACTTGAAAAAAGAGAATCCATTCCAGTGTTTGTGACAACGTCATTATTTACGGAAGCCCACGTAGACAGAGGGGTCAAGCGATGAGGCGTGGTTAACCGAAGTGTTGTGCCAGGGTTGCTCACGTTTCCGTTCTCTGGCGGCCCCGAGGAGGCGAGCAGGAGGAGTTGAGCTGGAGGTCAGGCGGGCCTGGACTTGAGTCCCCACTCTGCTCCTCACTGTGAGGCTTCAGCCGGGTCACTTTAACCTCCGTCGACTGTTAGTAGAACGGGGCGGTGGTTCTTCCTCTTACCCACCCCCAGAGCAGGCGTGAGCTTGTCGGGCAGCTGGATGGGGCGGCCTCGTGATAGTCCCCCCGAGTGCCGCGTGCCCTTTTGAGGAGAGCAGGTCGAAACCCACAGCTAAAACACGGGCTGTACAATAACGTGCTATTCTGTTCACTCCATTCTGCCCTTTCTCGCTACTCACAGTGGCCAGGACCTGTCCCCAGAAGGGAAGCCCTGGGGAAGAGGGTCCCTGGCGGCAGGCTCTGCTGCTACGGGCAAAACTGTGTCCCTTTCTGCCCAGAGGGAAGTCTGACATGTCTGGAGTTGGGTGGTCACTGAGACCCTCCACTGACTCTTTGTCGGTCGCGTGGGAGCTTGGGAAGAGCCCTGCCAGCAGCCGGAACGGTCTGGAGAAGGGGGAGAGTGGAAGAGCGGCCTGGCTTTGAGGACCCTTCTGATCCCATGTGGTGTCTGTTGCGTTCCTGAGCTTCCAGGGTCAGAAAGCTCTTCTGGCCAAGACTGGGGAGGACTTCGCCCACTGGGCGGAACCGGAGGGGAGAAGAGCCTCTGGGGATCTCACCCAGTGCTCTCATTGACCATTTGTCCATTTTCCATCCAGTACATATTTATCGAAGTCTCCTGTCGCTATCCCTGTGCTCGGAGTGCAGACCTCAACTCAGCAGAGTCCCTGTCCCCAGGAGGTCAGCCAGGACAGGGGCGGGGGTCTGCGGTAGGAGGTGCGCTGCTTGGTTCTGCCTCAGGGAGGGCAGGGGAGAGTCAGAAAAGGCTTCAGTGAGGAGAGAAGGTGTCATTTGAATTAGGTCAAAGCGCAGTTAAGAGCCATAGCAGATCCAGTTCTCTGGATGTTTTAGTGGAAAAGGGATCGATACTGGGTGCCTGTGGGCCAGCACCTTGCAGGGTTTCGCTTGGGTTACTCCCAGCAGCCCTGTGAGGCTGTCGTTTTCACCTTAGCATAGCTGAGGAACTGAGGCTCGGATTAACACCTGTCCTTTACAGTGTCCCTACTGCAAGAGAGAGGGCCCAGGCCCAGGCCTCGGGGAGCTCTGTTGGATGGGAAGGTCAGGTAGTTTTCAAAGGGACCTTGGTAGGGAGCTGACTTGCAAGGGGGTCTCCCCTGGAGTCTTCTTTTGGTCCCTCTCCCTCATTCTTGCCACACTGGGAAAGTGCAGCTAACGCCAGCCAGCCTCTGAGAGGACCATAGTGCTTAGATTGTGCACTCCTGGGGCCAGAGTCTGTAACGAGGGGGCTCCTTAGGAGGACCCCAGTCCTGAAGAGCCCTTGGGGATCACACACTCCACCACTTTCGCTGGCAAGAATAGGGACGGAGGCCTGGGGAGATGAATGCCCCACTCAGAGTCTTGCTGTGGGAGGGCCGAGCCACAAGCCAGCTCAGTCCACACTGGCCCCGGCGCTCTTTCCCTGTACAGCGCTGCCTCAGTGTCACAGCAGCGTCACCCGTGACAAACTCTTGGTTAACCAAGGGCCCCGTGGGGGTGGCCTCACTCCCACATTTGCTTCTCCCTTAGAGCTGCCATCGCCCTCACACCCAGACCAGAGTGAGATAAGAAGCCGCCTTCTGCCCAGCACATGCAGAGGAGTGACCTACATGTCACAGTGAATGGGACTGTCACCAGACAGGTTCAGGTTGACTGACCTCTCCTTCCTGCTTTCCTCCCCACTCCCACCTCCCCGGCCTAACAGATTGCCAGGCTTCGGAGTGAACTGGACGTCGTTCGAGGAAACACAAAAGTCATGTCTGAGATGTTAACAGAGATGGTCCCCGGGCAGGAGGATTCGTCCGATCTGGAGTTGCTGCAGGTGAGGGGGGGGGCCTCGTCTTGTGGAAGGTCTGGACCTGGGGAAGCGGCAGTGAGGCAGGAGCGGAGCCCGGGGGGACTGTCGTGGGAAGGGACGTGTAGGCTCACACTCAGCCTCATGCTTCCTGGCAGCGATCAGATGCCAGCACCAGGCTCTCCTTTTTATTTGCCTTCATAACATTTTTTGCCCTGATAATAAATTGCCGACTGTAGAACACGTGCCCCTCAAAAGATGAAGGAAGTATAAGGAAGAAGATAACTCATTTTCTTTGATTCCGGCATCCACAAGTAACCCCTGTCGATGTTTTGATGCATTTTTTTTCACGTTTGTTTTCATTTCAGGTGTAGTTGAGATCCTATTATGTGCCCCGTTTTGTGTATTGCTTTGCTTCCTCAACATTATGTCGTAAACATTTGTGACAGGACCTCCTCAACCTTTCCTACACGAGGGAGCCCTTCTAGCCACACTTTATCCCCCAGAGACTCCTGAGACTGAAATTAAATAGAAGCTCCTTTTCTTTTAGTGAATACTGAGGATTCTGGGCTGGGGTCGCCAACATTATGGTTCCTGAGGACCCGTTGCTAACTGGCCTCCTCGCCCCCTGGACGCCGAGTGGGTCTGGGGGCATGACAGAGAGGGGTCCAGTAGCAGGGCCAGCCTGCAGGGCCGCCCTCAGACTAGTGTCAGAGCCAGCCAGATCCAAAGCTAGTGACCAGATCTCCACCACACCCATCTCAGACGACTCTGGCCCTTGTAGAAAATGGCACCCGCACTGCCCTTAGAAGCAGTGACCTTCTGGAGGGGTGGAGAAAGGGTGCCATAAACTGCAGGTGCCAGGATCTTTTCAGCGGGAGGCAAGATGCTTGAGTAAACAGGTCAGGAGCCAGACTGGCTTGGCGAGCTGGCAGGAGTGCCTCACGACGTGCCTGCTTCTGCTGTTCTTGTCTGGCGCTCAGAGTCGTCAGTCTTGGCCCCCCAGGCGCCGTACCTCCCACCCTGCTGCTGGCACACAGCTCGAAGCCTGTGAAGGCCCGGCTCTGATGGCCCTGCCTTTCAGCAGTGTGCACAGCGAAAGTGACCTGGTCCCAGGCAGCCTCTTGTTGTGCCTGCTTCCTCCTGGGAAGCCGTCGGCTCCTAAGGAGGTGAGGTGAGGGTGGGTGAAGGCCTGTTCTGGGGCTGACACGGAGCAAAGCAGAGGTACGTGGAGTGTGGTCTCTGCTCTGGAGGACCTCCCAGCCTGGTGCAGGAGGCAGACAGGAAACAGCTCCTCTCCACGAAGCCGTGACATCGGGTTGCTCTTGAAGCCGAACCGAGTACTCTCAACCGGCCCGAACGAGGAGCCCTGAGCGGCCTCTCGCAGACCTCACCCCTGACACCTGCAGCAGACCAGGTTGGCCTGTTTGGCAGGTCCAGCTTTCCACTGCAGGGGACCCAGTGTCCCCTTAATGCGTCACTGACCTCCATTCCCAGCCTGCAGGGGGAGTTCTTCCAGGCACTGGAATCTGAGAGCAGTCCAGAAACAATCGAGAAACTGAGAGGGCCTCTTGAGGCAGCGTTGTGCTGTGTCAGCGTCCGAATTCCTGCTGACAGGGGGTTTGCAGTGGACAGAGCTGAGCTCCTGGCAGCAGGGGGTGGGCCGAACAAAGCCAGCATGCTTCCAGACAGCCATAGCAGACCCAGACAGCAAGCATACTCCGTGCGTGCGTGCATGCGTGCGTGCGTGCGTGCGTGTGTGTGTGTGTTTAAACAAGCCCATCAGCCAAGACAAACAGAACCTAATCTCCTGGCATCAGCTCACAGTTTTCAAAAATAGGTTGCTTCCCATGACGTTTTCCTTCCCTCTGTTTTGTTCCAACTCCAAGCCTACCAGCCCTCCCTGCTATCATATAAATCAAACAGAGAAGGAACGACTAGACTCCGGGTGCCAGTGGGAGGCTGGCCTTCCAACACGGGAGATTCAGGAGTTGGGCAGCTCTGTGTGAACAGCCACGGCTCTCCTTGCCACTGGCCTCGCTCCTCAGTCATTCTTGACATCTTCCCTCTTCTTCTTCCTGGGACAGTTGGAGCCAGCTGGGCAGGGGCTCCCAAAGGCCAGGGCCACCCCAGACAGCGAGACTGCCACATGGGAAAATGCCACCATCTGCTTGGAAAGTGATGGGATTGGAATGTGCCCCGAGGACCCCTCAGTTGAGCTGGAGGGCAGCCAGATTGCTCAGGGTAGAAGAAGCTGTCCAGAGCTCACAGTGCTGGCCAGGGCCATGGAAATAAACCCATTTGTCACCACCCCAAATGTTCACGCCAACAGAAGCTGCTCCCAATTGGAGTGTAAGCTACTGGGTAGGAGGAGATGCAAAGAGAGGAAATTGTAGGTGTCGGTCCCGGGACGCATCGGTGTGGCGACCATAACCACGGGTGGGAACGTCCCAATTGCTTCCTGTGCCTAGCAGAGCATTTTCAGGTGTGGCCTTGAGCAGAGCCACAGCGAACCTCAGCAGGAGAGCCATTTGCTTCAAGGGAAGCGGAGGCCACTCCTCATGCTGTGCTGTCAGCGTAGCCGGAGACCCTGAGGGAAACTGAGGCAGGGTGCCCAGAGGGAACACTGTGCCGTGTGGGATCCTCCACTCCCTGAGCTGGGAGAGTCGTCCTGGGCAGTCCGGCTCCACACATGTGCTCGGATTCCACCTACAGCGTGTTGCCTGGTGTCCCTGCCTCATCTTTCTTAACATCTTCTTGACACGACAGGCTGTTCACGTGAGCCCATAGAAGCACTTGGTTTCCAAACGCACGTCCTAGTTAGACTTTGGGAAGCGCCACGGCGAGGCAGAAAGAGCCACTGGGTTCACATCCAGGCCCTCCCGCTGACAGGCTGGGCGATACTGGGCCAGTCGCCTACCCCTCAGGGCCCAGAGTGATCACACTCAGCTTAGAAGGGTAGGAATCGTCTATTTGAGGTGGCGCACAGGCCCATCATACGCAAGTTGGAGCCCCCGTGATTACCATCGGCACCCCCTTCTATACAGTGAGCCAAAGTCTGTCTCCCTGTAGCTGCTACCCTGGTCTGTCATCTTTAACGACAGAACAAAACAAAGTCTTCTTTGGCAAGGTGGGTCCTTAAATGTTTGAGGACTGCCATAAGCCCTTCCACGGCCCAGTCTCTGTGTGGGACAAACGTGGCTGTTGGCCGCCCACCTCGTAGATGACCTGTCAGTCCTCAGCAGGAGTCGGATGCTGTAAATCGAGAGCATTTCCATCAACACAAAACCTTCCATCTCTTTCTCATATGGCCGGTAAGCCAGGTCTTCCCCCCATCCTGTGTGTGGGCACTTGGGTCCGGGCCTGAAATTTGAGACTGCATCTGTGTCTGTTAGAGTTCACGTCCTTAGCCGCAGCCCGTGAGTCCAGTGTTTGAAATCTTTAAAGATCCCGAGGCTGTCATTCGGTATTCTCTGTCTCTCCCAAATTAGCCTCTTGAGCTTTGTCTTCAAATAGTAATAACTTTTAATTAATCCAGTGATGCCAAAATTGGGCATTCCTACGTGGCCATCCGTCAGATAATAAAAGAAGCCCTCCTCCACATTGTTTCTTCAAGTAGCAGATGGTATATCCCCTCTTGCGTCTTGCATCATTTCAGCAGAAACCAGGATGTCCAGGACCATTTTCTCTAGAGAAATCTAGTTTATTCTACATGTTTAGCTTCATTATCCCCCCTTCTCTTCAACAAAGAGTTTCTCCTCCTTCCTCCCCCCTTCCTTTGCCGCTATAGAAAAGAGATCTTCAGGACCTTGTTCCATGCTCCTTAGAACTTGGAGAGGGTTCAGAGGAAATCCATAAAGATGATTAAAAGATTGTTTTATGAGGTGGGGATGAGAATGTCCCTTGAAGAAAAGATAAAGGCATTGGGATTAATTAGACAGAAAGAGGATATTTTAATACGTTCTGATCGATGGAGGGCTTTCGCACAAAGAACACTGACCAGCTGTTCTCCTCTGTTGAGAAGCCGAAATCTTCAGCACGTAGGAAATTCCTGTCCTGGCTGTTGCACAGTGGGAAGGACGACCTGGGCAAGACTTCGGGCCAGAAGAAAGTCGCTCCGTTTGGTTGGTTTAGAGATGGAGGTAGGCAGAGGAAGGTCTCCCCAACTGCGCCTGCCCTGGGTCTGGCTGCGTGTGACCCCATGAAGGTCATGCAGGCGGCCAGCTGGTGGTTGGTGGCAGAAATCTCAACATTCTGGTTCTTCTCTCCCCTTTGATCTCTGTCTTTTTTTCTCACTGTTTGTTTATTTTAAGACGATGGGAGCTCCGGGGTGGCTCAGTCACTTAAGCATCCTACTTTGGCCCGTGTCTTGATCTCGCGGTTTCTGAGTTTGAGCCCTGCGTCGGCTCTCTGCTGTCAGGGAGGAGCCCTCTTGGGATCCTCTGTCTCCCTCTGTCTGTGCCCCTACTCTGTTCTTGTGCTCGCTCTCTCCCTTTCAAAAATAAACAAACATTAAAAAAAAAAAAATGATGATGACCTAGGGTCACATTCAGTGCTGGCTGGCTCATTCAGTGGAGCTTGCAACTCTTCGTCTTGGGGTTGTGAAGTTCGAGCCCCACGTTGGGTCTGGAGATTCTTTAAAATTAAACAAACAGAAAAAGAAGGTGGTGACTTAAAAACTTGAAGGAAGGAGATGGTAAAACTTTCTCTGTGCAGAGACCCTTGGACATCCTTGATTTAGAAGCTCCAGGCCAGACTCTCTGGGCCAGTTTAGGCAAAGCTCTTTGGGAGGTGCCTGGGGACCTCTCTCGGGTTGGGCCACAGAGGCTTTGCCCATGGGGTGGGTTGGGGGCCATCTCACTGCCCACGCCAGCTGGAGGCTGTGGGAGCAAGGCAGCAGATGCAAGCTCAGAGCAGGTGTTTCTGGTTCCTGCAGTTCATGAGATCACACATTCTCTGCCCTTCCGTCTCATTCTTCCCAAGAGCTGAGTCGTAACGTTAGAGCCAGGAGACATCTCAGAAATCATCTAGCACTTTCCAAACGCCTCTGTCAAGTAATGGAACCCTTTTCTCCACCAGTAAAATTCTCCAGAGAACTGCAGTGTTTATTTATTTTGAGAGACAGCGTGTGAGAAAGCACGAGCGGTGGATGGGCAGAGAGTGAGAGGGAGAGAGAGAGAGAGAGAGATAGAGAGAATCCCCAGCAGGCTCCTGCCATGTCAGTGCAGACCCGGACTCGGGGCTCGGTTCTGTGAACGTGAGGTCACGACCTGAGCAGAAACCAAGAGTTGGGTACTTAACCGACTGAGCCACTCAGACGCCCTTGTACTGTTTAAAATAGATAAAAGCTGCCGTGGGGTGGGGTGTCCCAAAACCCCATGCCGTGGAGGCACTTTAGTGGCACTCTGCAGAGCTTCAGCACTTCTCTGACCCCCTTTTCCTTCCCCGGAGAGAAACAGTTCCAGAGGGTGCTGGAGGCTCCGAGAGCTGATCTAGTCAGTCGTGGCCGCTTGCTGCCTGCCACTTGGTTCCCAGCACACGGGAGGGCCTGGGCTCCGTGGCGGAGACTGAATCCAGCCCTGCCCTTTTTCATCTAGTGGTTCTGTGCTTTGGGCATCTGGAGCCATGTTACTGAGACGCTCCCTGCCACCTTCTGAGGGATCTGGTTTGGTTCTCCGTGGGTTCCAGTAGACCATCCTTGAGGGCTGCTCTGCGTTCTGAGGCTTCCAGTGGTTAGGGTGGGAGTAAGGGCTGGTCTTCACTTATTTGAGGCTCTGATGGAGGGGCTCTGGCGACATGGGGCCGCAGCCCCGAGTAGAGGTATGTCCAGAGTGCTGTGGAAGCCTTGAGAAGGTTGGGGTTGGGGGGAGTCTCCAGAAAAGATCGAGCTCCTTTGGCTCCTCATAGATCTTTGGCAAACACCTTGAGTGCCGGTCTCCTCTATACCAGGCACGCCCTCACCCAGGGAGAGGGAGTGACAGGGTGGCCCAGGAAGGGGTCCTGGCAGACAGTAGAGAGGCAGGCGCTGCGCCTCTTTGCTCTGTCCACTGCCCGGCCTCCTGTGTCCCCGGGCTCCGTCTCTCCCACTCCTCCATTCCCATGCTCTTTGGCTGGTCTCTGGCGTGTCTTCCAAAGCGCTGGGCAGGATCTGCTACCCGAGAATGGCCAAGCGTCTTTTTTCTTTTGGTTGACGGGGGCTGGTCTTTTAAAGTTCATCTAAATCCGTGTTTCCTTCTTGGCCCTAAGCAGGTGCTCCTTGAACTCTAACAGTGTATTAGAAATCCTACAATCATTTATACTGTTCACGTCAGTCCTGGCTCCTGGAATCCTTCATGCGACCTACTGTGATGGCTTCTTTCATAAGTGCCTCTGTGGGCTTTCGTTTCGTTTCGTTTCGTTTTGTTTTATGTTGATGGCCTGGCTTCATTTTAGCCCTCACTCATGAGCATACTTTGTGTCTGTAATTTGGGTTTCCACTGGGCCTTTGGCTTTGACTGTTCCTGTGGTGACTGGATTTGACCTGTGAGTGTCCACCAGCATCCATGGCAGTTAGTGTGACAGTCCATCACTCGAGTTCTGGAAAGGCTCCAAGTCCCAGGCCAGTTCCTGAATGCCCCTCTCCTGGCCGGCCTGGGGATATGAGCCATTCGCAATGGTAGAGAGTGGCCATTTTGTGGTATTTCACTCTTTACTGGACATAATGTCTTGTGCAATTCATTTTTGGTATTTGCCTCTTGTTATTCAGACACATGGCTGTATGTTCATAAATGCTTACTACTGGGTCACTGCGGCCTGGGATGAGTCCTGGAGAGGGAAAATTAGATTCTAGGTGAAGGAGAATTCCCCATTCTCTGAGTGGAGAGAGTGCTAGGTAGAAGGCTAAGCTGATGTGGATAACTGAGTGAGGACAGTGATGGGGAGCTGGTGGTTTGCATGCACCGAGGACTCAGAGCACCGTAGAGTCCAGGCCCCCATCCTTCTTCCTCCAGCCTCAGCCTGCTTCTGACCTCCCCTCCTCTGCATCTCCTGCTGGTGGGAATGCCACTCCCTGCCTGGGCTGATCTGGCCAGGGCTCAGCTGGCACCGGAAGTAGGGAGGTAGGGAGAGAGCTTGGGGGTAGGGAGAGAGGAGTTTTGACTATCCAGTGATTTGCTGGGAGCCTCCTATTTCCAGGATGATCCTGCCTTCTCCCAAACAAAGAATGGGGGTCTTAGGAGAACCAAGAGTGGGAATCTGTTCATAGAAAAAATTAGAAGGTCTAGACACTGGGCTTGCTGTCCCTAGAACCAAGAGAAACATTAGCATTCTAACTCTACAGAGGGCCAGCAACTGGGTTAGACCCATGACCAAGGCAGTGTTTCCATAACCAGAGAGACCGGGCGCAACAAGCCAGAGAATCTCCAGATGAAGCTGTTTTTCTGCCGGTAAACACCAGACTAGTTTGTACCCAGCTGTCCAAATCTAGATCCCTTCTGTCTTGGAAATTACAGCTGGAGTGGGGTGATTCTGGGCTGACCCACGTGGGCTGAGCTGCTTTCCTCAGCTGCCTCCGCTCTTGGGGAAGCAGCCCCCGCAGGCCGAGCAGCCAGGGGAGGGGTGACAGCAGAGGCCGTGTCCAGGCCTAGTGTCTGGCTGGTCATGGTCTACTTATTCTGTGATGGACAGGTCCGTCGAAGTCCCGACCTTGCTCTTACCTGCAGGATCAAGCCTAGGACACGCATCCCCCTTCAGTGGTGAAGCAAGAATGTGTGTGTGAATGCGTGTAAGGGAGCACTACTTCGGTGCCTTGGACCGAGTGTGGACAGAAGGAATGCAACTTGCCTTCAGTAATTCTCCCTGGAGCATTTAGGGAGTAGCTCCTACATGTCAGTCATGGGTACTGGAGAAACAGGGACAAAGGATGCCGTCTCTGCCCTCAAGAAGCTTCAGTGTAGAGTGTAGGGCGTGAGGCAGACCAGGAGCCTGGTCATAACGCCCCATATGCAGTGAGCACAGTGTTACAGGGCGCCATTGGGTGCCTGGATTCCCTGCTTTGCGTTTGGCCACCTCTGTGGTCCGCTCGGCAGATAATTCCTGGGCCTTTTTCCTGCATGTAGCTCCGCACAGGGCATGAGGGGGAATAAATGGTGGCACCTCCCTCATGGAGTTTATGGTCTAGTGGGAGGGGAAACCTAGTTCTAGCCAAGTTCTGGACAAAATACAGAGCTGAACAGAGATCGTGTGTGTGCAGTGAGTAGAGCAGTGACTTCTACCAGAAACATTTCAAAAGGAGGTGGTTTTGAGGCCGAGCTGTGAGAAGGAAGGACCTCTGCCCCTGCCCTCAGCCCCTTCATTCACTGGGTCATCAGCTGCCTCCTGCGTCTAGGTGGGCAGGGACAAGCTGTCCCCTGCCCCCTTCATTCACTGGGTCATCAGCTGCCTCCTGCGTCTAGGTGGGCAGGGACAAGCTGTCCCCTGCTTCGCCCCCATTGGGACTTGGAGCTTTTGTCCTTAGGCTCTTCCTGTACTCAGGGATGCTGCAGGGACAGTCTGGGATACAGGATGGCAAGGAGCCCTGGCAGGTAGGTGAGGGAGCTCCACAGGCAAGTTTCAACGAGAGCCTGAGTCAGGTTGCCATCTGGAGCAGGAAAAGCCTGCGGTAGTCAGGCTATAAAGTGGTAAGGGTCTGTCTTCAGAGGGATAGTCCTTCCAGGGGTAGAGAGGGCCCCAGTGGTGACTGGGAGCTCATGAGAGTCATCAGCTGGGAAGAAACATCAGGGCTTGCTGAGCTCAGACCTCAGCGAAATGTCAGACGCGCCACCAAAATACACCTGGTGTGGTCGTGCTGCCGGGAGTGTAAAATGAACTGATCTCTTTCTTTGGAGGGTCTTCTGCTGTTACCAGTCTGTGTTCTAAAGGACCACGCCCTTTCACCCAGAAATTCCACTTCTAGTAGCTTGTCCTGTGGAAGCACTGGCACAGATGCAGGAGCACGTGTGTGTGCGAATGTTCCTTGGTGCTGTGTTTGGGCCGGCCAAAAAGAGGCCTCAGCCTGAATGCCCAGCAATTGGGGGGGGAAGGGGAGGTGTATTATAATAACACGAAGGGACGAGGCCGGCTGTACAAAGCCGTGGGAAAAAAGGTGGTCTAGAGTATTTTGCTGAAGAGAAAAAGCAAGCTGCAAAGAATCCTGTTCTTAGATGTAAGGAACGGTCTGCGCAAACACGTACCGATGTACGTACGACGGCTAGCTGTGGACGCTTGTCCGTCTATTGAACAAGAGCTTACTTCCCCTGCGGTGACAGGAGGCAGAGAGGAGCCTTCCACTTTGCATCCCACCCACGTCCAGCTTTCTGGACAAGCGTGCACTCTTTTTGTGACTTTTAAGAATTGGCGCACATTTTCCCAAAGGAAATGGAATGTGACCAAAAGCGTCCCCAGCAGGCTAGCCAGAGGCGCGTGTGTTCCCTAGGAGCTGAACAGGACCTGCCGGGCCATGCAGCAGCGCATCGTGGAACTCATCTCCCGCGTGTCCAACGAGGAGGTCACCGAGGAGCTGCTGCACGTCAACGATGACCTCAACAACGTCTTCCTCCGCTACGAGAGGTGGGGGTTAGGGCCCTTCTTCTCCCTGGGAAAGGCTGGTGCCCTGGCAGAGGGATTTCTTTTCTCAACAATGGAGAGAGGGGGAGGGAGAGATTAGAGTTGGAAAACGGTCATCAGAGATGCTAATGTGTTCCCCGGCTGACTGGGAAAATGCTTCTCCGGTTCTCCTGGGAACCGGGCCGGCTGGGCGGAAGGTGACGTGGGGAATTCGGCTCTGCCCTTTGCAAGCCTCAGGCCGCCCAGCCTTCCCCAGTACCCCCAGCCCCTCGAGGGTGGGGAGGGCAGGGCCCCAGAGCTTCGCACCTGCTCCTTTGAAGATCCTTTGAGTTTGAAGAGGCCTAAGGGGGGGGGCCGGGGGGGACTCTCTACTAAGGAAAAAAGATTTCCTCTTTCCCATCTTTAAAAAAAGAAGAAAAAGATTTTTCCCTCCCTTTGCAAATGTCAGTGTGTCTAGAGTGTTCCAAAGAAGGCAGGGTGTAAGTGCCGGATGCTGCTGCTTAGGGAAACACACACACACACACACACACACACACACACAACACACACACACTCACATGCGTACATACACGTTCATTTGAGTTCTTTCTGCAGCCAAATCATTTTTGGATTTGAGGTAACCAACTTGAAAATTCTTTTCCTTTTCCAAAGCCTCCCCCGGGAGCAGCAGTTGTCAATAGGAGGTAATGGCAGGTACAGCTCCCATATCCTCACTCCGGTGCCTGTACCTTGGGCTTCCCCCCAGTGAAGGCACCAGAAAGCACCTTGACCAGGCCAACCTTTTCCTAAGTCTGAGGCCCTCGGAGACATGGGGCCCTGGCATCAGTTAGGGTCAGTGTGACAGATAACTTGCATCTAGGGGACTTCGAGGGTGATTTTGCTCTGGGTGTCCCAGCCCTGGGCCTCGTCTCAGCTTTGACTGTGATAGTAGGGATGGGGCGGGGGGTGGTCCTTTGTCCATCTGACAGACAAAAAAACCTCTGCAGTAAGAATGTGGAGCTACCCAGGAGCCTCGTGTGTCTGTTGGAGATGAGGAGCAGATCTGGGGTGCCTCAACTCCCAGCCCGAGACCCCTCGGTTTTGTCATGTGGTTCTGGTTTCTCTACTTTTAATGGGCGTGGCCTTTCACCTGTTAAACCCATTTCAGCCCCTCCTAGGATAGGAAGAACGGCTAAAGTGGGCATTTTCCCGAGTCTACCATGCCCAGTCTGACCACAAATTCAGAAGCAAAGCCTGGGCCAGCAGCCCTGAGGTACCATTCTGGCTTGAGACCTTTTGATAAGACTAATCGTCCCTCGAAGATGGTGGGGGAAAGGTACCCCAGGATTAGAAACTTTTCCTTCTCCTTATAGGCCATGGCTCATAAAAACACACAAATCTTTCTTGAGACCACAGTGGATACACATCGCCTAACCAGATGGTCCTTCCTGGGGATCACTGGTCACCAGGCACGGACCCCAGCCAGTGGGGAGACCTATGTGGAAGGACAGCAGATCTCCATAAACCCTGCTGTCTCTAGCCTCTGGCTGGAGAAAGTCTCTTAGCTACTGCTTTGCCCATGACGTTTTGGAACTCTTAAGTGCAAGGGCAGCCTACACACGTGCCTCACAATTGCTCTTGTGTTCCCACCTGGTGTGAGAGTGACTTGGGTATGCCACAGGAGAGGCTCACTGTGGTCACTCCAAGCTGAGTCCCATCCTCAGCTACTGGGGAGTCTTCTGGCCCTGCCAGGGGCCTGTGCTTGTCTTCCTCCTCTGGCTGTCTGCCCTGTGCGCACCCCTTTCCACCAGCAAGCTGAGCTGGGGGCATTTTAGCGACACAGGCTAATCACTCCTAGTGCGGCTCTGTGAAATAGGGAGGGGGCTGCGCGTCTCTCCTGGCTTTGCAAATAGACCTCTGGGCATCCCCCAGGTAAAGTGGTTGGCCCAGCCACCCCCTCTAGGGGCAAGAGGGGCACTCTGGGCCCAGGATGTGAGGGGACAGCTGGGAAAGCTTTTGGTCCCCTGGATGTGCCAACCAGCACCTTCCTCCCTCCCCTCAGCCGGCTTGTGGGTGAGCCTGGAGGCTGGTTCTCCTCCAGGGCAGCGCCCCCTACGGAGGAAGGCGTGGTGAAGTTGTGTGTGGGGAGATCCACTTTCCCTGGTCCCCAGGTGGCCCCGATTGGTCTCCTTTCCTGGAGGCTCTGTCCCCAGGAGCTCTTCACGGGACCAGGGAGCATCACTGTGCCACGTCATGCCCCTTACTCTGCTTTCCCTTCCCCATTAGGTTCGAACGATACAGGTCAGGCCGATCAGTTCAAAATGCCAGTAACGGAGTAAGTATTCCTTCAGAATTCTCTCATCTCCAGAGGCTGGGAGGCCTATCTCCATTCTGTCTCACCTTTGGTTTTTCTAATTGGGACTTCAATATTTGAGCAATTAGGGCGCCTGGCTGGCTCCGTCTGTAGAGCGAGCGACTCTTGATCTCGGGGTCATGAGTTCAAGCACCACATTGGGGGTAGAGTTTACTTAAAAAAGAAAAAAACAAAAAGAGCAAGTTCAGGGCGCCTGGGTGGTTCTGTTGGTTAAGCGTCTCACTTTGGCTTGGGTTACCATCTCGCGGTTCAGGAGTTCGAGCCCTGCATCTAGGTCTGTGCTGGCAGTTTGGAGCCTGCTTGGGATTCTTTCTCTCCCTGTCTCCTTCTCTCTGCCCCTCCCCCCCCCCCCATTTGTTTGTGTGTGCCCTTTTTTTCTCTCTCTCTCAATACATAAATAAGTTTCAGAAAAAAAAAGTACAGAGCAAGCTCTGGTTGGTGGGATACTGAGGAAGAGCTAACAGGCACATTCCTGGCAGGAGGGTGGCAAAGAAGCCCCAAGTTACAGCTCCTGGGACAGGGACTGTCCTGGTGGCTGGTTCAGCTCTGCCTCCTTTGGTGGGGGGAGGAGCCAATGCAGAGCTCACTAACAGCCAGGCCCACCATGCACCCTTGAAGTTCCCTGAAACCCAGGTGAGGGAGACTGCCTTGTTCCTGTATTGGGGAAACGTCGATGCTTTTCCTCGGGGACCATGCACGATGCCTGCTGGCTTTGGAGCCCAGCACCAGGGCTCCGAGGCTCACCGCTGTCTTATGCTCTGGCAGGTACTGAACGAAGTGACTGAAGACAACTTAATAGACCTGGGGCCGGGGTCTCCAGCTGTGGTGAGCCCAATGGTGGGGAACACGGCACCCCCATCTTCTCTCTCCTCCCAGCTTGCAGGCTTGGGTAAGTGTCTCATAGGGACAAAGAGGGTCTCCTTTGCAGGCCACTTCGTAATTGTGAGTCTGGGCTGAGGGTCCATTTCTCTCTCTCTGTTGGAAGTCCCAGGGAGAGCATTTTGAGGAATCTGTGGGAAAGTGTATTCCTGAGGCCTGGCCAATTGTACCATTTTTAGTTCATGACTCTTGTCCCTAAACTTAAAAGTTTAAACCTGTGTTGGAAAGAAGGGGTGGAGGGAGTTCCAAGGAACAGGAAGTTGTTTGCTTTAAAAGAAAGGTAGCTGCTGTGTTTTATCTGGAATATTCCATGTGGTTAAAGTGATTGTCTTCTCAATATAAATTAGGCCAAGGATGGCAAATAGGTTTTAGCTCATTGGCTACTTGGGACACAGGCCTAAGAAGGATGCTGAAGCCACATCAGAGCTTGGAAGATGAGTCTGTAGTTGATTGGTAATGTCTGCCACAGACTTGGAAGTAGGAAGCGATGACACTGATACATTTGCTCTCCTGGAACTAACATCAGCCTAAAGTGCTCCACTGCCTGAAACCTAAAACAAAAGAAACTCACCACTTTTCCACTTCTCTGTTGGAAAGTGTGTATATGATTCTAGATGCTGCAAATACGCTGGACGATACGAATCTATAACAAAATGACAGTATTGAAATAATAATGCATGGCCCTTGCAAAATTCTGTCTTGCTTTTTTCTGTTTCCTTTTTTTTTCTTAGTATTTCTCTTTATACCTTTATTCCATTTCAGTCAAACAGGGTTTTTATTTAGTGGCCTGTCAGTTACTATAATCCTGGCTTCTCGGCATCTCATATATTTGTAGCTACTGTTTTTCTTTCGGAACAGATTTCTCTGCCTTGAATCTATCCAGCATATGGCCACCATATTTAAAATCCAAAATTCAAACTGAATTCTGCTGTCTTCCTTCTTTTCTTTTTTTGAATGTTTATTTATTTTTGAGAGAGAAGGAGAGAGAGAGAGGGAGACAGGATCGGAAGGGGGCTCTGCACTGAGAGCAGAGAGTCTGATGCGGGGCTCGAAATCACAAACTGTGAGGTCATGACCTGAGCTAAAGTTGGACACTTAACTGATGAGCCACCCAGGTGCCCTAGCTGCCTGCCTTCTAGTGTTCAGTCTCTGTCCACAAGCATTTTTCATTTCACACACCCTGGACTTCAGGTTCCGTACCTTGGTACTTACCTTTCCCCCTTCTCCCTGCAGCAGAGTCCACTTGGCCTTCAAGCCCCACTGTTGGGTCAGTTTTGAGTCTTTTCCAGTGTCTCAAGCTAGGTACTGGTATTGTCTGGCTGGCTCCCACCTACTCATTGCACTCCTTTAGGCCGAGGACCATGTCAAATTCAGTTTGGTGCACGCAGGAGCTGGCTCTGAACGTGGTGGGTGCCTGCAAAATATTTGTCCAGTAAATACATGACCCAGGCCCTTAGATATCCTGACAGAGTTAGTGAGGCACACACTGGTCAGAGAATTGTGGGAAATCTGCAGGGGTACTGGCCCTGGGCCCCTCCCCACTGCCAGCAGTCTCGCTTCCATTCATGAGGACTCTTTGCCCACCTTGAGTAGCCTGGGGGTGGGTGAGGGTCCGTGGTTTTTCTGTCCCCCATCTGGGTCCCACCGTGGCTCCTCCTGCATGTGGTGGGCTGGGAGTGCAGAGGAGAGGCCTATGTTCCCCCTGCCTGACCCAGAACTCTAACCTGCCCACTGGCTTCCTAACTTGGAGATCCTTCATTAAGCCCACGGGCCACATTTTATTCTCACCCTACCCTCCTCTGTTTTGTTGCCGCAGACTTGGGGACAGAGAGCGTCAGTGGCACCCTCAGTTCACTCCAGCAGTGTAATCCCCGTGATGGCTTTGACATGTTTGCCCAGACGAGAGGGAACTCCTTGGCCGAGCAACGCAAGACGTATGTGGGGACCGTTTCAGTGGCTCTCGGAAGGTATTGGGGGAGGATTGATCCAGGCCTGGTCACAGGCCAACACAAAGACGCCTTTTATTTAGCAGATCCAGGACTGCCAAGAACGTTGAAATACGGCTGCGAAGACTTGGCAATAGGCACAGATTTTGAATGAACACCAACCCCCCCCCCAACCCCCACCTCCCCGCCTTGGGGTTGATTGTAGTCGGATCTCTCCCATCTGCAAGAGAGTGCTCCTCATTCTCTCTGCTCCCTGTGCTGCTGCTGAAGAGGAACTAGGAGCTAGGAGGGTGCAGCCGGGCAGGGCCTAGCAGCATGGTTTTCCTGCCCGAGTATGTGGGCAGAGGCTTCCCTGACGGCAGCTCTGGCCAGGATAAGCCATATGAAACTGGGGAAGTTGATCCTAAAATAGACACCGTCCCCCGCATCTCAGGGAGGCATAGACACACGCTTGGAGCTTCTTGTTCAGCCTTAAGGCAGGCAGGTGCTTTCCTGGAGCCCAGCACCTCAGCTTTCTGAGTCCCATGCTCAGGCATCAACAAGTTGACCAGAAACCCAAGGCTGCCATGCACCTCTCACCAGCACAAGTTGCTTTTAACAGCAGAAGAGGTCAGAATGCAGAGGGAGAGAACCTCCACGGTCAGTGACAGACCCCAATCCCAGACCGTGAGACCACCTTCCTTGTCAGATGCTACCGAGGCTGCCGCTTCTGAAATAATATTACTTGCAGCGTCAGGGCACTTCTGACGTCCCGTCACTGGGCGTTAGAGATGCCCTGGTATTGTTACTTGAGAGGAACAATGAGGTGTATGGTGTCCCAGACCCCAGAGGAAATGAGGGGCTGAGCCAGTGCTGGGACCGTAGCCTCCGCCTGAAGGCCAAGTCTGCGGGAAACTAGAAAGTGATTATAGGTCACTGCCGCGTCCCCTGGGACCACGGGGGTGGGTACTGACTGCTTGCGTTGCTTGTCTCCAGGGTAACCTACGAGGACCCCCAGGCTGTTGGAGGACTCGCTTCTGCACTAGACAGTCGGAAACAGAGCTCCGAAGTGGTAGGTCTTTCACCCTGTTTACCTGCCCAGAGTCCTCCGGAGGGAAAGTCGGGCAGCGTCGTAAAGCTGGCGGGGTAATGAAGCAGAAGCTGGGTTGCATGGAGGGCAGGGCACACTGGGGGAGACGGGCGTGAGAGCACTGTGTTGCCTCATTGCGTCCTCACTCCAGCCCGTGGGTGATGCCCACCCAGTCAGCTTTCCCATGAAGCCCAGAGCCAGACGGGCCCAGAGAAGGGACAGCACGCTCTGGGTACCGAGTGTGGATGGCAAGTGGGGGTCTGTCCTAGGAGGTCCAGCTCCACAGCCCCTTGTCTTCCTACCTTGATGGCCCTGAGCTCTCAGGGCGCAGGTCTCCTACAGCCAGATAGGGCCTCTTCCCAAATGTTACACAGCCCTAGGGGTGGGCAGTGCTCCGACAAAATAACGGCCCTTACAAGAAAGGGAAATGCTCACCTGAGCCGCATCTCTGCCGATCATTTGTAGTTGGCCTAGAGAAGCAGTACCAACCCACTAGAAGGCAGCTGATGGGCAGGATTTGCCTGGGGATCTGGGGCTGGGGGAGGGAGGAGCAGTGGGTGGAGGCCAGGAGGGTGCTCTGGGCAGCTCCGTGTCTGGAAGGAGCACGGCTAAAGGCAGAGGTGCTTGGAAGTGGAGGGTGGTGCTTGTTTGAGCCCCAGATGGCAGCTGTGGATTCTGTACGATTTCAGGTCACTGCAGGGGAAAGGATTTGTGTCTTAATGCTTCTCATGAGATCGTACCCCTTTTCGCCTAGGAATGCGTGTGGCTGTGTGGGAATGGGCGTCTGTTTGCAGGGACGGGGAGGGGGAGAGCTGTGGTCATAAGGGCCCCGGAACGGCTGGACCTCTTGTCAGGGTCCCCCAGCTGGGTTAGAGAGGAGCAGTGCTCATCTGCCCACTGGACGGGGAGGTTTGCTTCAGAACAACGGTTCTTGGGCTCCTGCAGCCCCTGTCCAAATGGGCCCAGGCAGGCAGCAGTCTGCAGCGTGGTTTCTGGAAGAAGGTTCACCCTGGGGAAGGGACTTGTCCCTCTCTTCTGGCTCAGCCAACTGGGTGTGAGGGGTGTGCGGCCCTCTGCACCGGCCACTAGGGGGCACAGAAGAGCCAGCCCAACTGCCTCGGGTCTCAGCACCCTGCCTTTCCACCCCTGGGACCCGGACTCCCCAAATCTGCGTAGTGGTCGTGGCTCCATTTCTCCCATTACTTAGAATGTGTCCCCCCGAACCGAGAGAGGGTGTTAGGAGGGCCCACCACCGGGCTGAGGCCACCAGCACACTGCCAGGTGAGGACATTTCCTCCTGGCCCACCCTGACCTGGCCTGTAGCTCTGTCCCTCAGCCAGGCCAACTTGGTTTGCTTCCCACTCCGTCCCCAGGGCCTGCCCCCATCCGTGCCAGGGTGTGCCACCTCTGCTGTTCTTAGTGCTTAGGCCTGGATCCAAGCTCAGGAGATGTGGCCAGCCTCCCGCCCTTCACCCTTTGGGCGTGTGGCTTGGCCCATCTCCCTGTTTTCAAAGATCTTGATGACTCCAGCATGTTTTCCACCTGATGGCAGGCAGATTACTTTCATGTTTACTGCTCGATGAGGGGAAGCAGGGCTTGTGGTGCCTGTGTGCCTGTGTCCGTCTGTGTGAGTATATGTATATCCCTGTCTGTGTGCGCGTCTGTGTCTTCGTATATGTGTGTGCGCACACCCTCACTCACATGCATCTTGAGGCCAGTATTTCAGGTCATGATGTTCCATATCCTAAACCGTACCGACCTGGATACGAGAACTGGGCCAAAGGAGAAATTAAGAACACAGTGAAGGGGAGAAAATTGTATAGCCACACCTCCACAGTGCAATCCAATCAGAAGTCGGTTTAAATACCTTTGTGACTTCAGAAAGAGTAGTATGCCCAAATTCAGTGTTCAAGTTAAGAGTTTGGAAAAAGAACACCCAAGGAACTGAGAAGGAGGAAAAAAAAAAAAAAAAGCAGAAATAACTTAGAAAAAAAAAGGAGAAATGATTTGGTAAAAGCTGGCTCTTTGAAAAGTTGACCCTTTGCCAATTCCGAGAGCCCTAATCAGGAGAAGCGGCCGTGGCCAGCCTTCTGTGACCTCGTGGAGATTTTCCCAGTGTGTGGGAATAGTTGGCATGAGTTTATGTTACCCTGTTGGGATTTTGGTTACTAAACTTCTCTTCTCTTTTCCAGAAAGGTAAGGGGGACATGCTGGAGGGGGGCGGGGGCAATGGGTCACATCTCCTTACGTGACAAAAGATCAACTCTCAACAGTGACTTTTCCATTTCCATGATATATACTGTTGCTTTCTTTATCCTGGGTCTTGCTGTGACTTTTCTTTCTGGGACTTTTCTGTCCTCGGCCCAGAAGAGAGGTAAAGGTGGGGACTCTGACCTGGAGCCCATAGACAGCTGGCTCATAACCCAAGGAATGGTGAGAGGTCACCAGCTGAGCCGAGCCCCCTGTCTGCCCCAGCGCTTACCTGTGTCACCTGCTGAGCCCTTGTGAGTCAGACAGTACAAGGCCATTCTCTCCTAATGACTGGATGCCAAATTTCCCCCTGCCAAAATGTCTTCTTGTGTTTGTACAATCTCCTTAAGCCACAGACTTTCAGTCCTAGAAACGCCTCTGGTTTTCTGCTAAGGTCCGTGCCCCTGGGCCTTAAGGGTCTGGGACATCTGTGGAAGTGAGGGGAGGGCCCTCTCCCTCCTTTTACTGTCTCTGGAGCTCTCGGCAGTATTCGCTTTCCCAGGATGAGCACAAGTTACTGTGGCTTTTGCTTATTGTTAGGAGGGGACATTTCTAAGAGAACAGACTCAAAAGCACCTGATCAATTGGAGAAGCCCCCTCCAGCCTCTAGATCTGGCAGTCCTAGGCTGATGGGTTTTTATAATGGAGTAAATGTGTGCCCACTACGTCCCCCAGAAGAATTTGAGACATCTTAAACACACAAACACAATAGAACAGAATAAAAAGAAGGCAAAGCCAGGGGAGTTGAATATCATCAACACAGTTCTCATCAAGTAGAGCTTTTCTGCCACAGAGACCCGAGTGGGCCTCTCCTGCCTCATCTGATCAGGTAGGTGGCCCCGAGTCTGCTACAGAGAGAGAGGGTGACCTCGTTCCAGGCCACTTGCCTCGGCGTGATGATTACACTCCTAATGAAGCCACCGTCCTCGCCTAGCACCTCTAACATAGAGACCAAAGGTCTGTGCGTGCGTGTGTGTGTGGCAGGGCTGGAGCAGGAGAGGGTGCACAGAGGGAGGGACGATAGAAGCAGTCAGGCATCAGCCTCCGGGGTGGAGCCAGGCAGACACTAGACACATAACTGGGGAAGAAGCGTAGCCGACCCCTGGAACCCGGGCCAGGCTGTGGCCGGCGGAGGGGCGTTCAGGCAGGCCAGCATGTCTGAGTCTGTAGGTGGCACGGCAGGGGTCACCTGTCTGAGCAAGGTGTGGCCGACATGCAATGGCCGCACAGAGCCATCAGAATCGAGGGGGTGGGGGTATCTTCCTACCACCCCAGCTTGGAGCTAGGGACCTTCGCACAGCCACGCTCGGGTGGGGCCAGCCTTCCTCCATCTGTCAGCAGCAGGCACTTCATACTGCTCTTCTCCAGCACGCGACCCCAAAGCTATTCTTAGAGACCCAGGCTTCTCCGGGCCCCTCATTTACTTCAGAGACAGGCTAGGGCTGTGGTCCTCCTGTGTGGGTGACCTTAGAGCGGGACTCCTGGAGACCATGTCCACTCCAGTTCCAAATTGGGAGGATCCAGCCGTGTGTCCTTGTGCCCGTTAATCCTGCGAAAAAGGATACTGCCCAAACTACCCTGAGTGTGGCATTAGCAGCTGGTGGTGGCACCTGCCTCTGCCCACACAAGATCCCCTCCCCACCCCGCCCCCCACTAGAGCTCCAGTCTCCAACTTTCCAGAAACAAACCCAACTAACAGCTAACCTGGTATCTCACCTGCCTGACTGCAGTGGTGTTTTTTTTTTTCTTTTAAACAATGTATATTAATTGCTTTGCCTTATTTCCCATAGTGTAGAAGCCCTGAGTCCTTCCAAACCCCCAAGTGCAAATTCTTTACTTGGAAACTTTTTGTACTATTGAGTAAGGCTGAAGGGCTTTTAGTCTGCTGCTCATGTTTGGGGGGACCATGTTGTAGGGAGGATTTCTCAGTTCTCATGAAATAGCATACCTGAGCTCTTCAGAAAGTGTTCCTGTTGCGTTGTAAATCAGACTCTGAGGTTTCCCCGTGGGTTGGGGGCCGTGAAATGGGCCCGTGCTCTCCCGGGACTTCAGGGGTCTAGACTTCCAACACCACGGTTGACAATACCAGATTCATTACCGGTTGAAGAGACCCCTGAGCAGCGTCATGAGCCGCTCTGCCTGGAGACTGCTGGGAAATTGCCCCCCCCCCCGACCTCCGCCCCCGGCCATAAGCAGGATGCAGCCAGAAAGATCCCCTGAGAAGAACGAGCGTCGGTCCCAACAGGAGCAGAAGTAGGTTAGTAGTAGGAGTGTGCTACGGCCCAAGCCCACGCATGGAGGGGTGCCGTAATCCGGTCCGGCAGACCCCCGACACAGCAAGCCCAGAGTCACAAATAGCACTGGCTGTGGCCGAGCCGGTGGCACCACTGCCCCCCACCTGCCGCCCCCTAAGTGGAGCCAAGTGAGGGTCAGCGCACGGCAGACAGCTCACCCAGCGCCCACGTCAACATCTGCCACTTCTGGCCCCCGACACGCCGCTTTCTCTTTGGACCCTGAAGATGGGCGGGCGCGTCTCACCGTTGCCTCAGCCAAGCCAGCCCCGTATGCGCCGGCCTTTATTGGAGGGTGGTCCTGTGCCAACTGTCTCTTATTTTTTTTTTACTTTGCGTCTTCTTCCCTTTCTGTCTGCCTCCCCCAACACACTCCTCTTCAGACCCTTGGATTAGCCTTCAGCCTTCAATCGTTGCCCAAGAAGGTGCTCTAACCGTGGCATGTCAGAGGCCACAGTCTCTTAGGGATCAGCTGGGCCAGGCTTCATCTGACAGATGAGAACACTGAGGCCTCCCAGGGGCTTGGTGACATGCCCAAAGCCACGGGGCAGTGACAGAGTCCAGTGCCCTCTTGGCTGGCCAAGGCCTCTCCCTTCCCTTCCATCGGCATGGACGAGGGAGCTTCCTCGTCCCTCCCAGTTTCTGTAGTTCCTGTTTGGAGAGCAGTGTGCACATTTAGTCTGTCTGGTGGCATCCACATTATTAGAAGGAACTTTACCCCAGTGCTACGCTCAAGGCATTGATTTACCAGGGTAGGAGGTGTATATAGGTAAGTTACTGTGTGCGACCACAAGCAGGTCAACCCTTGCCCTGTGTTGTATAAGCTTTACTGTTAGCTCTCCCCCTAGTTCCACGGAGATTCCGGCCCTGAGGCCAAGTGCCTTTCATACTGGAAGGAGTCAATTCCGATCGTTCATGATATTCCTGGTTTCTGAATTAGAAAACAGAAACCCTGACCTGGAAGTTAAGGGGCTCGGAGTCCTGTGGGGTGAAAACTAAATAGAACCTAGCCACCACGCCGCTTCTCTGATGGGGAGACTGAGGCCAAGAACTGCCCAAGCCCCCCTCTCCCTGCTCTGCCTCTTTACCCAAAGTCCTGAGGCTTCTTAGGACAGCAGAGACTCCAGGGCTCCTGAGTGAAGAAGGAAGCAAGTCCAGAAAAAAGTGATATGCTCCAGGGATCTGACTAGCCCAGCCCAGCCGACCCATCGCCCAGTGCTCTGTCATCAGCCTGGCTCCTGGGGCTTTGCCTGGAGGATGCCCTTCCATAAACACACTACTTATTTGGAGAAATCTGGAAGGGGGAAGAAAAGCGTTCCCATGATCCAGCTTTTGGGAGATTTTTGTTTTTGAGGGGGTGAGGAGTTTCTCAGATGTCAGTGTTTGTTTCCTGAGCGTGCTGCCTTTCAAGATTAATCCTCAAGAAAACTGGAGCGTGACACCCAGCCTCGAGGGACTTATTTTTGAGCAGTAACAAAAATATTGTAAAGCCGTATCAGAAGGTTTAAGACCCATGACCCCTTAGTGGCTGTTTTTCAAGCTCCTGCAGCACATTGGAAAGCTCTACCCATCGAACCTCCATTTCTCCTCGATAGACTGAAGCTGGGTGGGTATAAGAAAGCCCAGCACACGCTCCCAACAACTGTGGTTGGCCATGTTTTTTCTCTTTGGAGATGCCGCTAACTTTCCAAGCTTTTGTTTCTGGGAACTTGGCGTGGCGCGCATCCTCCCAGAGGCCAGGCGTTCTGACTTAAAAGCATCAAGATAATGAAAATTGGCATCTTCTGTCACAGGAACATGTCAAGACAGAAGTCCTGCCAGCAAGCGTAAAATTAGCAGATCGCACTCTGCGTGCCTTTACTGCTTTCTTTTCGATGGAGGAGTTGGGTGCTGCCTTAGGGGCTGTTAGCACATCCACGCTGGGCATCTGTGCCCTCTGGAATGAGAATTCTGTGCTCCTTGTCCCTAGGAGTCATTTCAGGGTGATTTGAACTCCTTGACGTTTTTTTCATTCCAACACGAGATTCCCAGTAAGTCAAAGAGATAAAAGGACAGCGTAGACAGAGTCTCCCTAATCTGATCAAGGGGTGGGCTTGAACCTTTATGAAAATGCGTGTGGGGTGCCCACGCTGGGTCTGTAGTGCGGCACGATATACGTTAAGGCACTCCAGGTTACCAGAGCGAGGGGGCTGCCAGCCTCGCCAGGTGCGTGTGTGCACGGGACACCTGCTCGGCACACTCGGGCCGCCCTAGGGGCCCTCGCTCTACCTCACACCCCAAACTCTGCCAGCAGCAGGTTTCCGTCTCTAAGGAGCGGCTTGTCCCGTCAGGGCAGGGCTGGGAATAGGAAATCTTTGTTCTTTTCCTTTGTTAAGCTCATGTTATTTTTTAGATTTGGCAAACACCAAGGCAGTCCTCCCGGTGCTTATTTTAACTGTATTCTTACCCTAGACTGTGACGCTGGGGGGAAACCAGCTATAGACACAGTGCTAGAGAATTTTCTAGAAATAGTGGACTTGTGAGCCGCTATTGCATTCTAGCCAAATGGACGTTTCAGAATCACCGCCCCGGAGGCCTTCCACAGGTGGGCCAGGCATGGAGACTGCTCAGGCACCCATGAGGCATGTCTTTGTTTTCTCGGGACCCAGTCACCCCCACCCCGGCTACCGCTTCCTAGTTCTCAGTTGAACTTTTCTTTGGCTCCCGAAGCGCAGCCAGCCATTGAGAGCTGGGGAGGCAGGGTGAGACTAAAGGAGCCACTGCATTCAGGACTGCTTCGTGATTCTCCCCTGAAGAGACACAAAGACAGCTAAAGCCCCAACGTCGCTTTGGTCATCAAAGCCCCAGCTTTGCCCGCTTGGGTTGGTGGTGAGATGTGCCCGCCTGCTGTCAGCCAGGCCACACCCAGGCCCCGGTGCTCCCCTCCTCCCACTCAGAGACGCACTGGGACACGTTCCGAAATACTTTCAGCGCCCGCCTGACCACCTGCACCCCCTGCTCCGGGCAGACTGCCACCTGGGATCCCCAGTGGCATCAGGGGCTTCCTGGTGTCTCCTCCAGTCACTCCCAGGGGCTGGGCTCGATGGCGGGTAGGCAGGACTCTTCCAAGGGTCCTAACCTGATGAGTTCAATACCAGCCTGTGGGACCAGCGCATTCCTGAGATGATGAGAAGGTGCTTTGCAGCCCTGGGCTGAGAGTAGTCAAAAAGTTATCCATTTCAAGAATGCGTACTGCTGCCCGCCCGCCGCCTCCCCCCCCCGGCCGCCCCCCCCCCCCCAGCGCCCGCCGGTCAGCCCTGCTTCTTAGAACTGGCCACCTCATTGCTTCCCTCACCTGCCATTTCATGTGTGGCTGCCTTGTGTTGCCCGCGCCTGCTGTGCCAACGTGTTTTTTTGCTCTGTGTACGTTTTGGTTTCGTTCTGGGGTTGCTTTTGACGATTTATTTTGTTCGGTGTTCTGTCTCCCCTCGCCTGGCTGTGGGGCTGCCTGACCCGCTGCTTGCCGCCTCCATAGATCCCCGTTGCGCAGCCCTCTGTCATGGACGACATTGAGGTGTGGCTCAGGACGGACCTGGTGAGACTCGACTTTTCTCTTCTGTGTGTGGGGCGTGGCAAGGCAGAGGTGCTTCTGAAGACAGGCCCGGGGCCAGGGGCTGCTCCCCACTGGGGTGGCAGAGGAGGAAAGCCCACTGGGCCCAGCGCACCTGCTGCGGGCGCGGCCCCGGGGCCTCGGCAGGCAGGGCTCTGGCTGGCTCCGAAACCACACACACTTGCCTCCAGTTACTTTTCTGTATCTAGTGTGTGTGTGCTTGGGTTCTTTTGCTTTGGGGTTTTGTTTGGGTTTGGGGGGGATTTTGTGGGTTTTATTTTTATTTTTTCTTTTTCACTGTAAACTGTATACACAGAGATGAGCCAGGTGTTTTTTTGTGGGGTTTTTTTGGTTGGTGTTTTTGCTTTTGTTTTTGTTCTTGTTTTTTTTTATTTTTTACTTGTCATCCCACTTCCCCAGTATGTTCTGGTATCCTGGATTTAAAAGAACCCTTACCCTCGAGACTGTTGTCTCTACCCGCAGAGCTAGGACAGGAAGGTGAGAACATCACGCAGCTGCAGATGGCAGCAGGTCCCAGGAAAGGGAGGGCTGCAGGGACCAGTCCCTCCTTCTGCTGCTTACAAAGCACTTTCCCTCTCAGGCGGCTGCAGGGGAGGCAGAGTGGGGGTTGCTGGCCAGGGGGGCTGACAAAGAAATGCACTCTGGGAGGGGAAGTGGCTTGCCCAAGGTCATGGGCTGGGCAGATTCTCCCTTAGTCCTAGAGACTCCTCATCTCTTGTTCCTAGCTGCCACCTCTTCAGGGGACCTTGTCCCCAGAGCAGAGCATCGTTAACCACAGGATTGGCCTGGCTGGCAGTGGGTTGCCGACTTGGCCCCCTTCTGTACTAGGGTAGGGCCACCTCCCCACAAGGCCAGGCTTTCTGAAGACACTCATTGCCCAGCGAGGCAGGCACCCAGGTGCCATGCCAGGGGAGGAAGAAAACACATCATATTTTTCCCAAGGGAATGCCTGGAAAAGAACTAGCTCTCGTCACAGAGACAAAGCAGGAAGGAGCAAGGCCCTCACCTCATGGGGCGGGGGGGGGGGGGGGCCCCCGGGGCAGAAAGGGGGAGGGACCTGTCTGACAAGGCTGAGCAGATCAGTGGCAGGGCCAGGAAGGAAGCCACGTCTCCTGGCTGAGCCCAAGGCCCTGTCCGCTTCCCCATCCAGCTCCCTTCCCTATCACTGTGCAGTAAGTTCCCAGTGACCACTGCGTTCTCCAAACAGAAATCAAGTCCTATCCACTGTCATCGTTAAGAGCTCTCCGAGCTCCCATGGCTTCTCAGGAACCGGCAGCAGGTGACGGAATCTGGGCCACAGGAGGCCGTGGGACATGGCTTCTGGCCGGACAGCGCTTTACTGCCAAATACTGCTTGGTATCCGGCCCTGTGCCATGGACTTCATGGCTCTGTCCCTTCCAGGCCTCATGCGGTTCCCAGCTGTTGGCATGGACAGCGGGTTCCCAGAGTCCTGTGGCTGCTGAGTGAAGGAGCACCTGAGGGGGTCCTGGGCACGCGCGCAGCTCAGCCTCCTCCTTGGGGCCCTGCTCTGGGAGTGTCACTGGGTGGCCAGAGGCCTGCTGTGGTCCTGCCCTTAGCTTTAAACCCAGAGAACCGGCCTGCGCCTTTTTTTGGATTTTTCTTTCTGGTTCTTCTGGGGGATCAAAGCCTAGAACTACGGAGTTTGGGGTGGTTTTATTTTTGCTTTCTAGAAAACAAAAGTTTCCGTGTCTTCAGTAAGACAAGCAGTATTTTACTGTCACAGAGCTCTGGGCACGGGGAATGGGGGGTTTGGTCCAGGCTGGGCCCTAATACTGCTCTCTCTGCTCCTCCCACAGAAGGGCGACGACCTGGAAGAGGGCGTCACAAGTGAAGGTATGACTGGGCCAGCACCTTGACAGCTCCCCACCTTCTGTTGGCTACCCCTGCCCCAGACTCTTGAGGTGCATAGGGGCCGGCACCCCACTGTCTTGGAGCCTCCACTGCCAGCGTATCTCCCGGTGCCCATCCTTGCTTGGCCTGGCCTCCTGGGCCAGGGGCTTCTCTGCTCTGTCCCAGCCAGGCCCCGTGCTGATGAGGGAAGTGTCAGAACATGTGACTTTAAGAAGGTCACAGAGCTAGTGAATAGTAGGTCCCAATTGCCATCCCAGGTCAGCGTGACCCCCAGATCTGCAAGCCTAATCAGTTTGTCCCTACCCCCGAATTCTTAATCTAGCAGAGAGACAAGACATGCTGTGCAGTCCACAGGGCTGCATAGGGAACTCATTGGGCCTGGCGTTCTGGGACCCCACTTCTGGGGGGCCAGTGGATGACGGGTCGGGTAGGGAAGCTCCCATCAGGGTCTTCCAACCCCCCCATCTCGCCCTCTCCTTCTCTCCCCTGCTCCTCCTGTCTCCCCCACTCCCTGCCACTCTCCCCTCTGCACTGCCTCCTCCCTGCTTTGCCAGACCATCTGGTCAGACCCCCTCCACTGGCAGAACCTTGCTTGGAGGATGAGCATAGGGTAGGGGGATGTTCTCTGCCAAGTGTAAGTGGGGACTTGCCCCTCCAACTTTCCCTGCCCTGCCTCCAGTGCTGATCTGGTGCATGGGAAAGCCCCAGCTTAGAGGGGTTCGTACCTGCCCCTTCCCCCCTGTACCATCTGCAGGTAGCCAGGCTTCCTGCTTGCCCTGGAGGCGGCAGAGGGGGAACTCAAGCCTGGGTCTCTGGGCAGCAGACGGCCCAGAAGCACCCCTAGCTCTGGCTGGCTGCTCCCGTGCCGCTCCCTGCCTCCCTCCTTCCCTGGCAGGCGGCCCAGGCTAGTGTGCTGAGGGTGGGGACAGTGAATGGGGCTCCGAGGGGAGCAGGTGAGATGTGGTGGTTAGAGCCTCACTGTGGGCCTAGCCTCCTACCAACGCTGCCCCTTGCCCTGGTTTTGTGTTGCAGAATTCGATAAATTCCTCGAAGAAAGAGCCAAAGCTGCTGAAATGGTTCCCAACCTCCCCTCGCCCCCAGGGGAGGCCCCGGCCCCGGCCCCAGCCTCAAACCCCGCCGGTCGGAAGAAGCCTGAGCGGTCAGAGGATGCCCTCTTTGCCCTGTGAGCTGTTCTGCGGTTCGGCTCTCCACATGGCAGGTCACTCCTTATTCCCCCGGTCCACACTAGGCACTGGCCACTCCTCCCATCCCCAGTCCTCACTCGGTCCTGTGCTGCTGTGTCTCCATGGAAACGCCACTGTGTTTGCTCCCAGGCCTCCCACTAGTCAGGACCAGCTTTAGCCACCTTCTTCTCTCTGGGTGGTGGGACAGCATCCATGCAGCCAGAGGCTCTCTTCCCCTGCCCCCGCCCCTCTGGCCCACAGGCTCCCTCTACCCATGTGTCCTCCCCAGAAGAACAGGCAGTGGGACCCAGCCCCAGGCAGGGCAGTCCCCGTGGGACCATTTCCTGAGGAGACACCTGGACTGCCTTTCCTCCGGTTTCTGCCCACAGAGAAGGGGGTTCCACCCCAGCCCCTTCCCCCCGACCCCGTGCCCTGCCCCTACCTGACTCAGTGGGTCTCCTTGGACCGGCCTACGCTCCCATGCCCCTGTTCCAGAAAGGGCTTGTCTGCACCTGTGGGCTTGGTCTCCCTCCCTGGAATGCTGCTCCCTGACGCGTGTCACCTTGTGGCACTTGGCGTGCTCGGCACTTTAGAAGGCTCTGTGGGTGCCCTTGTGTGAGGCTTCTCGCCCTCTTGGTCCTCTCTCCATCGCTCAGCTGCTGACCCAGGCCCACGCCAGGCTGGCTTAGCAGCTGAGCCTGGGAGCGAGGGGTCCCCGGTGGACCCAGGGAGAGGGAGAGCCAAAGGCAGTTGCAAAGACGGCATGCGACCCATGGATGATGGTCACGAGGCACACGGCTTAGCTCCTGCAGAGATAACACAACCGTAAACCAAACTGCCCCTCGTCCCCATCTGTGGAGGGGCCCGCACGGGGAGGAATTGCTCTGGCTGCTTGGGAAAGCTTGGTGGGCTTGTGAGCACACCAGGCTCGGGGCTTTGGCCTGGTCCGTGGCAGCCTCTGTGCCTCTACCTCCGGGGCCCAGGAGCAGATGGCTCTGCACCGTATTTGGAGATCCAGTGACCAAGGGGCCGGAGTGACCCTAGGGTCCCTGCACTGCTCCTTGGTGTGGTCTCCGCTTCCTCCACAGAACGTCCTGACAGCCTGCCCTCTCCCCGCCCCCCAACCCCCCTTGCTGCCGATTTGTACCCTCTCTCCAAGCCAACCTAGAAGACTGACAGCCTGGGGCTGAGAGCTAGGGGTTGAGGACACCTGCTCCCGCCACCGGGTGTCTCCTGGCCGTGGGCAGGACGCTCCGGCTCGGTGCGGTCCAGGGGGCAGCCCGCCCCGCCCCGCCCCTGTGCCGCGGTTGGCCAGGAAAAGAAAAATGCTGCAGCAGCTGCTCCGAGCCCGCCCGTGAGTCCCCGGGGCCCGGGTCAGTGTTCCAGAAGGTGCTGCCCAGGTATCGGGGGCAGACGTGTTCCCGAGCCGTGGCGTGGCCAGCCCTTCCCACTTGGCAGCCGGAGTGGGGTCAAGAGGCCGGGCTGGGCGCAGGCCAACACCAGTGCCTCGGGCTCTGGAAGAAGCATTTAGGCCACGGCCCAGCACCTCTGGTGGAGAGCGAGGCGCTGCCTAGCCCAGAACCCTGTGCCCTGGTCCGGGGTCTGGCTGGGGGCCCTCCTGGCAGGACCAGCCGGGGGTGTCACACTCCCGATTCCTCAGAGGATGTGCAGGAAACTCCCCCTCAGAGATCAGAGCTCAGCCAGCCTGACTCCAGCCCTGCCCTCCCTGGCAGCCAGTGCCACGCCTCTACTGTCCCCCCTCACCCCGACCCCACCCCTCGGTCCTCTCCTCCTCTTGTCAACATTGCTCACAGGCAGAGCCCCCTGAGGTCTGCCTATTTGGACGTTAGGAAGTCTTAAGTCAGCTGGCTTGACGTGAGCTGCCGAGAAGGTGGTTGGGATGGTCCGATTACACCTAGCGACCCAGCTAGTACCCTCCAGCGGCCTGGAGCGCTGGTCTCTGTGAGGGCCAGGGGCCCGTCCCTCCGCAGCCAAGCCCGGCAGCCTCTGAGGGAAGAGCCAGCGTCCCCGCCTTGTGGAAGGAGAAGTCCCCCCCAAGAGCAGGAGCCTGAAGGGCCCAAGGGGAGAGGAGGCTCCTGGCAGGGAGTAAAGCCGAGGCCTGTGTCTGTCTGGGGGAGAACCCAGCACAGCTGCTCTTAGTACCCACAGTCCAGAGCTGCCCCCCAACTCCAGGCAGGGCTTGGAGAGTCCTGGCCGCCCCTGGGCGGCAGATGGTGATGGAGCCTATGGGCTGGCAGGAAGGCACTGGCTCACACAGGGGAGAGCCCCCTGCCTTCCCGGCCTACAGCTGCCCTTCCTGTTGACAAGTCCCGTCCAGAGGCAGCCTGCCCCTACCTGGAGGCTGAGGTGACACATGCGTGAGGCCCGTGCAAAAAGCCAAGCAGGGGCCCAGGTGGCCTTAAGGGGGTGCTGCTCAGCCCTTTCTGTCCTGTGGCCCGCAGGCACCCTAGGCCACTCAACCACTGGTTCCCTTCCATGTGGGGAGCACAGCTCCCAGGCTCCCTGCTTGGGGAAGGGAGCCGAGCTCCGGCAGGAAAGCTGGCCAGTGCCTACCCCCCGGGAGAGTGAGACCCTCACGAGCCACCAGCCGCTCCACAAGTGTTAGAAATCACAGATACAGTATGTACTTAATTACACTAAATTATTGCTGGGATTCCTTATAAGCACTAATTATACCTGATTATAGGTTAAAATATTTATTTTGTCAAAATATTTTCTTGGGAATGTGTTTAACCTTTTCTGTGTTCATTGTGTGCTGAGATGAGAAAACTAACCATTTCTTCCTGCCTACTTTTGTGGCCAGTGGGCAGCTGACCCAGGGCACACTAGTGGGCTTTGGGCCAGCCTGGCCCAGAGCAGTCCCTGCCTGGGAGCCCCCCCTCCCAGGGACTGAGCAGGCCGACGGGCCAGGCCGAGAGGTGACCCGCCTGCTTATCAGCCGGCACGGGACAAGGGGTCTCTGAGCTGAAAGGGCTTAATGCTGGCTGGGGCCGGAGGGAAGGGTGACTTCGTCCGTGGTCCGTCCTGTCTTTCTGTTTTGTCAGCCCCATCGGTGTGAGTGACTGGGCCATCTGCCTTGGCTCACTGCCCTTCCCTTCCTCCCCCTGGGGTCCAGAGCAAGGGGGCCTGGGGAGGTGTGGGGCCCTCACTGTCGCTCAGGGCCTCCCACAGGGAGAGTGGTGGCAAGGGCTGTGGATAGCGGTGGCAGCAGGCACCTGGACCCCTCCGGCTTCATGGAGCAGACAGTTGCTCAGCCTCCTACACTCTTGTCCCTCCTCTTCCTTCCTGCCGCCCACCCCCACTTTGTCTCCACGTCTGCTACACACGTTTCTAACTCAGTCTGACCCAGCCTTCTGGATGGTTTGTGGAGGACTGTGGGCTAGCAGGGGAAAAGCACCATGCAGGAGTGCCGTGTTCTCTGCCTGGCCCCAGCCGGCCCACCACGAGCCTGTCCTCCATGTGCTGTAGGGACTCTGGGCCCCTCTGCTCGTCCACCCCCATGGGGAACAGCCAGCTTCACCACCATGGCTGAGTGTGCGTGCCCCCAGAAGATGCCCCCTGTGGTACCCGCCTCTCCCAGTGCCTGTCTCCGGCCCTTCCTGTCCACGGGGGTCCAAGCCAGGCCGCCCCTGCGGCCACCATCTGTCAGCCCTGAAGTTCTACTCTCGTGTCTGAAATCTCCAGGCTCCCCTGGAGAAAGGGGGATGGATATTTATTTTCTAAAGTTTGCACTTAATTTGTGAGGGTCTCAGGATGGGGGGGGTGGGCTGTTGAAAGAGAGATGTGTTGAGTTTGTTGTCCAGTCCTGGAAGTCTAATGTTCTGTCACTGTTGTGGGTTTCTGTGGGCAGAGCCGGTTCTGGAGGGTGGGTCGGTGCACTCGAGGCTCAGCGCGTCCATCCACCCACTGGCTCTCCTTCCAGATACTGTCTCTCTAGTTTGGGTTCTTGCATGTAAAATACAATAAATAAATGAACAAACTGTTCCTGTGTGATCTCTATGGAGTCAGCTGTGACTGTCTAAAGGACCTGCCAGTTCTGGGCACCTGCTTTTTTGTGTGTGTGTGTGTGTGTGTGTGTGTTAATTATTTTTGAGAGGGGGCAGGGAGGGAGAGCTGGAGGAACAGAGAGGAAGAGAGAATCCCAAGCAGTCTCCGCACTGTCAGTGCAAAGCCCGATATGGGGCTTGAACTCACGAACCGTGAGATCATGACCTGAGCTGAAACCAAGAGTCGGACACATAACCCACCGAACCACACAGGTGCCCAAGGGCACCTGCTTTCTCTAAGCAGGAGCTGCCCCAGGGGCCCCGCTAAAGGAAGCCATTCTGGAAGCTTGCTCCACTCCCCCTTCACCCATGCCCAGGCTGTTTGAGGGTGCCGGTGAGTCTGGGCTAAAGGAAAATCCCCATGCCTGTTCCAGTTTGGCTATCTGGGGGCACAAGGCTGGTTTGGGGGTGTTGGTTGTAGCAGCTGGAAACCTGCCATGGCCTGCCTGCGAGCTCTACCAGAGCCCGTGGTTCTTCCTACGTCTTATGCCAGGCCTTAGGCACGTTGCGGGAGGCCCTCAGCCCTGTCCCAGGTATCCAGGCCTTGGGCAAACAGGCCAGAGCCATCTCCTCCTGGGCTCCCCAAAGTTAGGCAGGCATCCACCGAATCCTCTGGACAGCTTGTGCCACACACTGAGTTTAAAAGCTGTTGCTCCAAGGACCACTCCCCGCTTCTAGAAACAGCTTTATCGAGATCTGATTCACATAGCATACAATGCACCCATTTTAAGTGTCCCATTAGGTCGTTTTCAGTCTATTCGTAGAGTTGTGCAGGGACCTCAAGATCCCTGCATCACCGCGATCAATTTTTGAGCATTTTCATCGCCCCAAAAAGCAGTACCCCACACACACCTCCCCACACCCCCCAGCGCTCTCCGTTTTAAAAGGTGTCTGTCCTGTCCTTTCCTGGGAGCTGGCCACTCTGGGTGCTTGCTGCCAGGCCACGGTCCTCCAGGAAGCAGGCCCAGAGGCGCAGGGGTCCTTGAGCAGCACATCATGGGAGCCACGTGGTGCCTGCATCTTCTCTGAGTGGCTCAGAGGAGCCTGAGAGCCCTTTAATCCCTACACCACACAGGGTTTGAGGATCTGAAGTGGGGTGGGCTTATCAAGCCCCCAGGTGAACCTGGAAGAATTGCAAAGACATCTACCCAACCTGTTGTATTCAGGTGAAAAGACAGAGCCGGGAAGACCCACACACTTACCTGGGTTTGCCCAGCGCTCCAACTCAGACCTCGGGCCTGGAGGGGTGGGCAGCAGGCGAGGCCATCCCATCCACCTTGAACACCAGCCCTGCAGGAGGGCGGCTCAGGCGGGGGCTGCCCTGCCTCCTGGTATAGGGCAGGAGGGACCACGACGGGGGGCCGCGATGGGACCATCCCAGGTCAGAAGTGGCAGCACCCAACTCCCAGTTGCTCTAGGGAGCTCTGTGGAGGCTCTGCCTGTTTCTGGCCAGTCAGAATGAGAGGCTCCCACACCAGGGGAGTGTGGGAGTGGGCCTCTGAAGGTTGGGAGACCCCCCAGTCCCCAGTCCCGGTGAATAGAAGGTGTGGATCCTGAGCCCATTCTCTGCCCCCAGCCCTGTACAAGGCACTGTGAGTGCCAGAAGAGGCCCGAGCTCTGTGGACAGTGGCTCGGCCCTGAGATACCACCGTGGACTTGCCAAGACACGCGGTCAGCGCATGTTCCTGAGAGTTTGCTGTGTACCAGGTTGGTGCTGGAGGGGAGGGGCTGCTCGAGTCCTACCCTCAGGGAGCTCCCAGCCTGGTTCAGTTCCCAGAATCAAGGACATTCTGCAGCCAGGAGGCACTGGAGCCCTTTTCCAGGGCTTGCAGGACCAGGAGGCTCTGGGGGAGCAGGCAAGGCCCAGAGTAAGGAGCTGCTGTGTGAAGTTTCACTGGGCAGGCCAGCCACAGGAGGGAGAGGGTGGTGAGGCAACTCTGACCTAACTGACCAGACTCCTGGGAGGGACCTCAAGATCCCTGGCAGGGACTTGCCAACATGCATTTCCCCAGTACATTAACAGCTGTTCCTCAAAAGGGGTTCTATGGAGAAAAGTCTGGGAAATGTAGAAGTAAAGTTAAGCAGTGTTAAGACCTCTTTAGTCAAGATAAAGGTGGTTTGTGGCCCAAACTGCTCAGAGATGCCATATCGGAACTTTTTTCATTGTGGTAGAAAGACGTTTGATTTAGTCAGAGAGAGGGATTTGTTGACTTATGTAACTGAAAAGTTCTGATAGTTCAGCTTCAGGCATAGCTGGATCCAGGTGCTTAGGGATTTGGTTAGTAATTTGTCCCTCCCCGTGTCTTGGCTCTGCTTCCTCCGGGTTGGCCCTTCCACGTGGTTAACTGAAGGCTGCCTGCAACTCCAGGCTGACTTTCCATAAGCAGAGAGAAGGTACTTCTTAATAGTTCAAGCAAAGTCCCAGAACCCACCCTGAGAAACCAGGCTATTAGCAGAGAAGGGATGAAATCTGAGGAGGCGGGGCACCTGGCTGGCTCAGTCGCAGAGCAGCACCGGTTGTACGTTTGAACCCCATGTTGGGTGTAGAGGTTACTTAAAAATAAAATCTTTAAAAAAAGGAAAACTGAGGAAGCATCATTAGTCACTGCAGCGTGGGTGGAGAGGGCCAGAGATAGGACTGACACACTGAGGGGTGGAGACTTGGACAGAGACAAGCTTCTGGATTCCTCCTCAACCTTTGGTTGTCTCCCTTCATCACAGCCTGAGAGGAGCTGCTAGCTATAGGTGCCCTCCCCAGAGATCTGGAGGGGGCACTGTGGGACCACTGTGGGTCTTCTCATGGCTCACGCAGGGTCCCCCTGCTCGCCAGTCACACACTAAAGCATCTGAGGAGGACAGTCTTTTTCCAACCCATCTCCTTTCCAAGAAAAGAGTCTCCTTATGGTCCCCAGGGACCAGGGGCAGAACAAGAGGACTTGAATAGGCATGAGCCACCCAGAAATTCCACTTTATTTCAGAGGAGCCCCTGCCCATTTTTGTTGGGTGGCCCTCAGGGGAGTCTGGTCAGGGCCTCCACGCCTGGGCCCTAGGCATCCCAGCAAGCAAAATCTCTGCCCTCGGCACTAGGGGGTCAGCGGGATGTTTCTGGAAACCGAGTGGACTCCTCTGCCCGGTGCCATCCCCTTCTCGCCCCCACGCCCTCTCTAAGAGCACCCTAGCAGGGGTTGCAGGCTTCACTGTGGGTCCCTGAACAAGTCCTTGCTCCTTCCTGGTGTATACTCCCCTGATCTATAAATTGGGATCATGGGTGGTAAACCCAATGCCTATAGGGGCCTTTTTATTACACAGTCATTTATGAGTGAAGTGGCCCAGGTGTGATACCTGGGGGCTGATAGGAACTGGGGGGGGGGGGGGGTCACAGCCCTGGCTACAAGGCACCCAGTTGTGGAGCCCAGGGTTACTCAAAATTCTCATTTTTCAAGAAAAACCAGAAATCCAGCCTTTAAGTGGAATCTTCCACACTTGACAATTAATTCAAAATCAGAACCCACGCAGAATTGGATTTGGCTTGTGGAGGTCCGATGATGTCTTGGGGGTCCCCATGTACTCTTCCTGCTACCAATTCAACCCACCTCATCCTGTGACTCCCCCTGAGTCTACATCTGGTCTCACCCCAGATAGCCTGTTAGCACCCAGGGGACAAACGTCCCCCCGCCCCGCCCCGCCGGCCCCCCCCGTTCTTTACTGCTGTCAGCTTCATCCCTCACGGTGCAGCAGAATTGGTGGTTCTACCGGATCTTTGGTGGAGTATCTGTTGAATGACTCACTGATGAACCTGGAGGTGACCTCCGTTAGTGAGGTGCTTTGGGCAAAGCTGACCCAAAGAAGCTCAGAGAGGACTAGAAATAATTTGTCCAGTGCATAGCAGAGGTCAACACGGAATGAGAATATAGGGTCATCTAGGACCAGAATCATCCATGTCAACAGCCGTCCAGATGGAGAAAGAGCGAGCAAGAGTCCCAGGCTGGCTCTGTGCTGCTTGGCCCCCTAACCTGAGCAGGTGCTAGCTTAAGCTACTGCAGAAATGAAGGATACATGGGGGCAGGCAGGGTTGCAGGGGGACTCCTGGAGTGGGGAGGGGTCTTAGTATTCTCCTGGGCAACGCCCAGGGTTGCACAGTGCCAGCAGCCCTGGCAACGCTAGTGCCTGCCCCTCTACCCATCCTTGAGCTCCGCCAAGATGAGTAGCCGAGGCCCTGTCCGTGCCCAAAATGTCTTGGTACCCCTATTTCACAGTTGGCAAAGCCGAGGTCGGGCAGGGGCCCCGCTGGGTGACCCAGCCTCTGGGAGCTGGGCGGGCCTCACAGCCCGGAGAGTCCCGGGACTACAGGGGCCCCGGGCAGGGGGCGGTGCCGTCCCAGGTCAGCCCCGCCCCCGTGTCCGGACGCACACCTGGCGGCAGTCCCAGCCAGGTGTCTGGGCTGGAGGCCGGGCCGAAAGAGCAGGCCCAACTGGTCCCAAGGGCCCAGACCCTGCCAGCCCGCACCGCGGTCCCGCCCCACTCCCACCCCGGGTCGAACGGGCGGGCGCGGTGCATGTGACCCAGGGCCCGGCTCCCGGGAGTTTCGCGCTGACGCCGCGTCACCCCACTCGGGGCCGGGCGTCCATTGGCTGCGCCCCGGCCCGTGGGGGCGGGGTTTGTCTGGCTCCGCGCCCCAACTCCCCTGGGTCTCCGGCCGCTGCCCTGCCCCGGGTGAGGAGCCAGCACGGCTCCTCCGGCTGCCCAAACCCTGAGAAAATCAGGGACGACAGCGCTGTGCGGCCGTGGGCAAGTCGCTTTACCTCCCAGTGCCTCAGTGCCCTCATCTGTAAAATGGGAATTACAGCCCCGTCCTCCTGGGATTGTTGGGAGGAAAACATGGGTTAACACTGGTAAGCGTTCAAAGATTGTTGCCAGTGCAGACACAGCCTGCCAGCATCACTGTCG